AACGAAGAAGATTGCAAAAGCCAAAGCAGGTGGCAAGGTCAACAACAGGAGACAATCCAACAGTCAAGAACTAAGCAGAACTGGAACAGATGGCGAGCCAGGCAAGAACTGCTGAGCCCATGTGGCTGTGTTTGCTTCTCTGGACTCACCAGGTGGACAGGGCTGTGTGATGCCATGGCCTCCCTATCACCTTGGAACCTTTTTGCTTTCTGCTTCTTCCTGCATATCTCTTCAATAACCTAGATGTCACTGTAGTGCATTTCTCTTCAACTTGTTTGTGTTGAAAGGACTAAATCCAGAAGAGAAATTTAGCATCTGCCCTACAGGTCTCTGAAGCTTTGTGTTGCTGTTGTTGTTGTATACCCTGGAGTCAACTATTGCTCATAGCAGCAACACTACAAGCCACGGATCTGAACCCTGTCCTATCCTGTGCCATCCTCACCATTTCTGACACACTTGAGCCCATTATTACAATCACTGTGTCGGTCCATCTTGTTGAGGGTCTTCTTTTCTTATGCCCTTCACCTCCACAAGCATGACATTCTTCTCCAAGGACTGGTTCCTCCTTACAATGTACCCAAATTATATGAGACAGAGTTTCACAATCCTTGCTTTCAAGCAGCACCCTGGTTTCACTTTCTCCTGGACACATGGGATATTCAGTATTCTTCTCTAGCACTATAGTTCAAAGGCATCAATTCTTCTTCTGAGATCCTCAGTCAGTCATTGTCCAACCTTCAGATGCATAGCCTTCCATATGGATTACATTTTACATCTCAACATCAAAAAGACAAAAATCCTCACCACCAGGTCAACAGGCAATATCATGACAGATAGAGAAAAGAGAAAAGTTGTTAATAATTTAATTTCCTTGGATTCACAATCAACACCCTTGGCACCAGCAGTCAGGAGATCAGGAAATGAGTTACATTTGAGATTTTCTGTTGCTTCTGTGCAGACGGTACCAATGCTGGAGAAAGCTGCATTATATGCAGCATTTCCTGCTCCATCCCATGCTGGAGCCCAATAATCTGCAGACAGGGGTAGCAGGTAATAAGGTAGCTTGTTATTTATTGCATCTTTGATTTTTTTTTATTGCATCTCATCATTACAGACTTCTGCTTCTTCTGCTTTGGTCCTTCACAAAGACACAAGCACTGCTTTGCATACACACACACAGGTATTGCATTCACCCCACCTTTACTATGTGTGTTGTATGAAAGAAGGCATATGCCCAGCTTCACAAAGGTCTTTCCACACAGGAGCAAGTACCTTGAATTGGCTCAGCCCCTCTGAGACTATTAAGATGTCATCACTCCTAAAGTAAAAATTCTTTCAACGGGAAGTACAAATAGTGCTCGATGCACTAGGTTTAAATAAAGCACTAGAAAAGTTGTGATGGTTCAAGTCCTGATATTCCAAGCTAGACTTGTAGAGAGATTTAGGAATCAGAATGAAGGACCTTAGAAAATGTCAAAGAAAATGATTGAGAAACCCAAGTTAAGTGATAAGGTGAAAAAACAGGGTAACAACTGAGTGATCAAGAAACGGACAAAATCCTATGAACACCAGGGAAATGAGGCCACCACTGATAAGAGACATAAAATAGTGATTCCAGGAATAACTTCCACTCCTACACACACACACACACACACACCACCCCACACCCAGAGAAGTCACGCTTAGGTTGGTGACATCACAGGCCTTTTGAGTTGTGTGACAAGGTGGAAGTATGAATTCAGACTTTCCATCTGTTTCAGTTTTGCCCAATTCAGGAATCAATGTGATACCAATTGACTTGTTTCAATTACAGATGCAGCTCTGGGTGCACTCAGCAGTCTAGGTCAGGAAATTTGGAGAACAGCTGTCTGGCCAACAGACTGGAAGAGGTCCATATTTGTTCCTATTTCCAGAAGAGGTGTTCCAAACGAATGGGGAAACTATGAAACAATATCATTAATATCATATGCAAGCAAAATACTGCTGAAGATCATTCAAAACCAGCTAGAACAGTACATAGATAGAGAACTGCCATAAGTTCAAGTAGGATTTAGAAGAGGCAATGAATGGCACCAGAGATATTATCGCAGATGTCAGATGGATCCTGGCTGAAAGTAAAGAATACCTCAGAATGTCTATTTGTGCTTTATTGACTAAGCAAAAACATTTGACTGTGGATCATAACAAGTTGTGGCTGACATTGAGAAGAATGGGTGTCCCAGAGCACTTAATTGTGCTCATGCAAAAGCTATACCTGAACCAGGAGGCTGTTGTGCAGAGTAGGGAACAAAGCATGGTTTAAAATTAATAAGGGAGTACATCAGGGTTATATTCTCTCCATATACCTCTTTAATCTGTATGTTGAGCGAATTATTCAAGAAGCTAGACTCTATGAAGAGGAATGTGGCATCAAAATTGGAGGGAGATGCATCAATAACCTGCTTTATGCAGCTGACACAACCTTGTTTGCTGAAAGTAGGAGGACTTGAAGAACTTATTGCAGAAAATCAAGGAATACAGCCTTCAGTATGGATTACATCTCAATGTCAAGAAAACAAAGATTCATACCACTGGACTGGCAAGCAGCATCATGATGGATGGAAAAGAGATAGAAACCATTAACAATTTCATTTTATGTGGATCCACAATTAACATCTTGGTACCAGCAATCAGAAAATAAAGAGACACATTACATTGGGAAAATCTGCAGTTAGGGACCTCTCCAAATTATTGAGGAGTAATGATGTTAGTTTGAGGACTAAGTATATCTGATTCAGGCCATGGTCTTTCTGATCACTTGCTATGCATCTGAGAGCTGGACAGTGAATAAAGATGACAGAAGAACTGATGTCTATGACCTGTGGCATTAGAGATGAGCACTTAACATCCCATAGATGGCCAAGAGAACAAACATATGTCTTGGAAAGGATGCATCCAGAGTGCTCTTTGAATGCAAGAATGATGATGGTTCACCTCACATAGTTTGGGCATGTTGCTAGGAGGGGCTAGTCCTTGGAGAGGGACATAATGCTTGGAAGGGTGGAGGTTCAGCAAAGGTGAGAAAGACCCTCAGCCAGGTGGATTGACATGGTGACTGCTGCAAAGGCCTCTAGTATGTCAGGAAGTGTGAAAATGGCACAAGATAGAATGGGGTTCAGATCTGTTCAGAGTCACTATGAGTCATACTCGACTCGACAGCACCTAACAACCACCACCACCACCAGTGGTAGTCTAGGGTGCTTGAAATCATTTGTCCCATATTATGAAAACACTGGAAACAAAAGGAGGTTTTGGTAGACTGGCATGGATGTCAAACTCCAGAAAGAATTAAAATCGTTTGGCCCGTATTCAAGACTACGCATAGCAACCCAACCAATTTTATTCATCATTTAGGGGCTGGCTCTAGTATGCTCATTATGCATAATAAAACCTCTTTGTAAGCTAAAAGCCAGTTGCTGATACAGCATCAGCTATTTCCTAAAGCAAATTCTCAACTTTCAAAATCAATCATTCCACCCTGAGAAAATGTCTTTAGAAACTTTACTGCTGCTTCTGAGGTTATTGGTGTTATTCAAACAGCCCTAAGTGCTACGTGACGCTGGCTAAAAACATACGCCACCTGGCCACTTCTCCTACCATCTCTATCTACTCAGGAGCAATATTAAACAGGCAACATTATTTCAGTAGAAGCGAAACTTCAAGAAGTACTTGAGTGCTTAGCAGAAATTCTAAATGTTTATTGAGTACAGAAAGTTTACCAAAAAAAGGACAAATCTAAATTGCACAAGAGAAAATGTCATCATAAAGCGCTTCAGGTTATAAGCAGTTAGGGAAAAATAATTTTTATTAAGAACCTACAATGATACCTTTATCTGCTGTCCAGCAGAAACCTGTATCAAAAATACCATCCAGTCCTCTGACACTAACACTGGAGAGTGGCTCAATATTTATGTCAACACAAGCCTCTTTAAACAAACAATCAATTTTCTATTTGCTGAGTACATAAGGTAGAAAAAATTTAAAATAAACCAACCAAAAAAGCCCCACTGCACTTTGTTACTGGCAAATTGACTCAAATTTATGGCAACCCCATGCATGTCAGAGTAGAATTGTGCTTTATAGGCTTTTCAATAACTGTTTTTTGGTTTTTTTAAAGAGATTGCCAGTTCTTTCTTCCAGTGTGCCTCTCAGTAGACTCAAACTTTTGGTTAGCAGCTAAGTACATTAACTATTTGCATCACCTAGAAACTCTAGGATAGAAATAAAAGCATAAAAAGACATTTACTTGTTTTTTATATAAGAAGCAGTTCAATTATCTCTGTAACTCAGGATTCAAATGACTGCAGTCATTTGCACCATCAGAGGAGTTCCAAGTTAAATTGAATTGATGCTCTCATAAAATCTTTTTGTGCAGTCCAACTAACATAAATTAGCTACTTATAAGAGTACACATAAAATTATTGACCCTTACACATTCACAGGTCATCTTCATATCTGTTTACTTAAAAGACCAAGAAGTCTGAGTTAGAATTAATTGAAATGGTGACTGACAATATAAGTGACTGTCACCTTAGGAAAGTGACTCCAACTCTCTGGGCCTTAGTTTTCTCTAAACTCCAGTGGTACTTCTATAAGGAGTTGCATTGCTAATCCAAACGCTGCAACAACTCTGGAAGTTTGAATCCACCAGCTGCTCAGCAGAAGATAGAACAATCTACTCTGGTGCAATTTACAGCCTCATAGTTAGTTATGAGCCTTCCAACTAAAAAGCAATGGGTTTAAGGTTTTATTAACAAAGATTAAATGAATTCTTGTTTGTAAACCTCTTAGTACAGGGAGTACATATTCAAGAAATGGTACTTGTAATTATTATTTACTGGATGCCACAACCTCAGTAAATCTGTATGCAGTTACAATTTTTCATCTTGGATAAGATTAAGTGATTTGTCCAGCGCTAACTACCAAGGCTTCTAAATGCAGGCCCCTTCACAACATCACCCTCAGTAAGCCTTAAAGACTTTGACAGAATGGGCAGCGGTGTCCAGCACGAGCAGGGAATTCTCCTTGGTGTAGACCAGGGCCACGGGATGGGAAAGATCTTGAGTGATGAGGGGCTTCAGCCCAGGAAATTCCTCAGGTTTTCCTAAGCACAAGACAGCCTGACTGGAGGTATCGGTAACAATCACATTGCCCTGGGGATCAAAGGTAACAGCAGAGGCAGTTATTTTAGAAGGAAAGAAGAGGCTCAGCCCAAAGGAATCCACTTGGCCAATGAACTGCATAGTTGCACTAAACACCTTCACCCTGGTGCTGCACGTTTGGGTCCCCTCTGCAGCAGGGGGGTGCTCAAGGACGGCAATGGCTCCAGTGTGCCAAGACACCGCCACCCCCCGGGGACTGCACAGATGGGCACACATCTTCTCAATTCTGCGGAGATTCCCTTCTGGAAAATCGACTTTCAGGATGTGCAGGGAGCCTGCCTCTGCATCAGTTACCAGGATCTCATTTTGGGGTGTGGTATCCACGCCCCAAGGTAACGAGAACTGGCCTCCAATGAGGAGTTTGACATGGCCAAAAAAATCAAAGACTTTGATGGAGCGGTCGCCCGCGTCGCTGACAACCACGTGGCAGTCGTTGGTGACGGTGACATCGAGTGGGTATCGAATGTCTTGGGCAGACTCCCCTTTCTCTCCAAACTGATGGGCACATCCTCCCTCGGAGTCAAAGACCTTGACCCGTCTCTGGCCGTCGTGCACCACCACGATGCGCCCCGTCTTGCGACACAGCGCCAGCCCGGTGGGGTTGACCAGGGTCCCCCAGCCACCAAAGGCATGCCGGCAGGTGAGCGTTCCGGGAGCGCAGGGAACGGCAGGAGAGGTGGCTGGAGCCGGGGGCAGCGCGGGGCTCAGCAGCTCCAAGAGGTGCAGGACCGGCAGGCAGTCGCTAGTGTCACTGCCCCGGCAGCCTCGCCGGCAGAAGGGGCACTCGAGGGCCAGAGTCCGCGGGTGCGCCAGCGCGGCCACGCAGGCCAGGCAGACCACGTGGCCGCAGGGTAGGTTGCGCGGGCGCCGCTGCTGGCCGGGGCCGAACCTCTCAAAGCACACCTTGCACTCGAGCAGGCTGATCTCGGCCTCGCGCACCAGCTCCCGCAGCGGCTGCCCACATCGCGCGCCCCCGGCATCCCCCGCGCGCCGCCGCCAGCCCGGACACCGCCCCCACGCGGCGCTCGGGCACCGTCACAGGCAGCGCGCCCCTGACGTCAGACGCCGCTCGCCGGCCGATTGGCCGCCGCCTGCTGCCCCCTGGTGGCCGCTATTTATTAGAAAGGGCCCTCATGCTTTGAAAGGTGGAGGGACAGTGAAAGAGAGGAAGACCTTCAGCCAGGTGAACTGACACAGTAGTTGCAGCAATGGACTGGATGGCACAGGATACCAAAGGGTTAAGGTTGTACTTAACTCTACGGCACCTAACAACAACCACCTCTAGGTGGCATATTATCCCAAAATTGTGGCCACGTTTTGAAATAGTAACCTTGGCACTGAAGCTGTTATGATTAGACATATCATGAACACAAGAACATCCTCTACACGGATCATGAATATCTCCTATCAGTAAGAATCATTAAATTCCTGCACTCCAAGAATTTAAATCTTCAATTATTGTACAAGTAAAGGAGGTCTGGTGGCTGTAGTAAGAAGTTGGGCAGTCTACCTACAGGCGGTCCGTTTGAAGCTATCAGCTGATCAGAGGAAGAAATATGTGCCATCTTTTCCTATGCATTTACAACCTCTGAAAACTCACTGAGTTGGCTCCAACTCAACAGCAATGAGCTGGCGTTTGTTAGGTTATAGCAGTTCATCAGCTGGAAGAGGAAGCAGAGGCTGAAATATGCAGAAGAACAGGCCATTCTCAAAAATAGTGAAGTAGATGCTTTAGCTATCACCCAATTCCAGGAATTAGCAGTCTTGTTTTGTGTGTGCCTCAGTGCATTCCACTTCCTAGTTTATTTGAAAGCACCTTCAACAGTACGCATTTTATCCTTAAAAGTTTGTTGTTGTTGTTGCTTGCCATCAAATTGAGCATGGCCCATAGCAACCCTATGAACAGCAGATCTGAACCCTGTCCTATCCTGCACCATCCTCACACTTTCTGTCACATTAGACCCCAATGTGGTAGTCAATGAATCAATGCATGTTTATAATTGTGTATTTTATATCTAATCCAAAATATCCTAGAGATTATAATTTCAACATGTAATCACCATTCAAAAATTATTTAGGTACTTTACTTTCATTTTGAAGGAAATAGCAAAAAATAAGGCCCCAGGAATAGATGGCATATCAGTTGACATATTTCAGCTAACAGATGCTGCCCGTGCTCACCAAGTTGTGTCAAGAAATCTGGAGAACAACCACTTGGCCAACTGACTGGAAGAGATCTATATTTGTTCCCATTCCAAAGAAAGGTGATCCAACAGAGTGTGGAGCTATAGAACAATATTGTTGCTTTCACATGCAAACAAGATTCTGCTGAAGATTATCCAAAAACGACTGAAATAACACAGCAGCAGAGAACTGACAGAAGTCCAGGCTGGGTTTAGATGGGGTTGTGGTGCTAGGGATATTGTAGCTGATGTTAGATGAATCTTGGCTGAAAGCAGGGAGTACCAGAGGAATGTCTATCTGTGCTTCATTGATTATGCAAAGGCGTTTGACCGTGTGGACCATAACAAACTGTTGCTGACTCTGAGAAGAATGGGAATCCCAGAACACTTGATTGTGTTAATGTGAAACTTATACATGAACCAAGAGGCAGTCGTCAGAACAGAGCAAGGAAACACTGCATGGTTCATAATTGGGAATGGCATATGCCAGGGATGTGTCCTGTCTCCATACCTTTTCAACCTGTATGCAGAACAGATTATCCGGGAGGCTGGGCTCTATGAGGGGAAATGTAGCATCAGGATTGGTGGAAGATCTATCAAAAATTTGAGTTATGCAGATGACACAACCCTGCTTGCTGAAACTGAGGAGGACCTGAAGCACTTGCTGCAGAGGGTCAAGGACTGCAGCCTTCAATATGGATTGAAGCCCAATGTCAAGAAGACAAAGATTCTCACCACTGGACCAACTGGCAGCATCAGGATGGATGGTGAAGAGATTGAGCTTGTTCACAGCTTTAGTTTACTTGGCTCCACAATCAACACTCTTGGCACCAGCAGCCAAGAAATTGAAAGACATATTGCAATGGGAAAGTCTGCTGTTAGGGACCTTTCTAAAGTACTGAAGAGCAATGGTGTGTCTCTGGAGACTAAGGTGTGTCTGGTACATGCCATGGCCTTTGCAATCACTTGTTACACGTCAGAGAGCTGGACAATAACTAGGGAGGATAGAAGGAGAATTGATGCTTTTGAGCTTTGGTGTTGCAGAAGAGTGCTGAGGATACCATGGACTGCTAAGAGAACAAACAGATTCATCCTAGAGAGGGTTAAACCGGGTGGCTCCTTGGAGGCAAGAATTCTGAGGCTTTGTCTGACATACTTTGGTCATGTTGTAAGGAGAGACCAGTCCTTGGAGAGGGACATCATGCTTGGGAGGGTGGAGGGCAGGCGCAGGAGGGAAAGGCCCTCTGGCAGGTGGATTGATTTGGTCACTGGAGCAATCAGGATGAATGTGTCAGAGACAATGAGATTGGCACAGGACAGAGCAGAGTTTAGAGCTGTTGTACATAGGGTCGCTATGAGTCGCAAGCGACTCAATGGCACATAACAGCAACAACTTTAACTTTTAAAAAACTAGGTATTCTTTGTCTTTTGCATTTTTCATACTTGTAGCACATCTAAATTGAGACTCATCTCATGCCAGTAACTGCTGCCAGCACCAAATGGAACAGTTTAGATCCAGACCAAGTTGGCACAACAATATTTTTTGCCTCTCAAGACTCTTCCAGATTGACTTCATTGATCCTTGCCTTGCTTGTAATTTGTCTGTGCCCCAAATTGTTTGAAAGCTGATCCCGGGTCGCCAGGTTATTGCTTAACTGTGATTGAGCTTCAGGTCTGCAGGACTCAGTGCCAGCCTGCATGACTCAGGAGGGAGGGGGTGGGGAGCTCAGCTCTGCTCTCTCCTTAACTTGCCTACCTTCCTCTTTTTGATCCTTTGCTGCCCCAATGGGGCACCCTGTAGAATTGCACCCCACTGCTGTTTTGTAATTAGGATTCCAGCATAACCCTGCCCCCTGAAAAAAGCACAGACTCAGAGCACTGGGTTCTTAGCCAGACGACCCAGTAAAAGTTGCAATAAACCTTTCATGCTCAAGGGCATTCCTGGTGCCCACACTTCTACTTGGCAGTTAGTAGCAGTTTGGAAAGTGCTGTGGCACATACATCAATCTTCCCTAATGATTGGCTTTTCAAGAGCCCAATAGTACCTTAAGTTTCTCAGGTGGCATAGAGGGTTTCCACTGTACTGCTAACGTAAATGCTGGTAATTTGAACTTACCTGAGGTACTATGGTAGAAAATGCTGTTGATTATATTAAGACTACAGCCTGTTGGCCTACAGAGGATTTTTGTTGTCTTGGTATTGAAATGTAATCTATATTGGAGGTTGTAGCTTTAATTAACGTAATCAACATTGGACTCTTGAAAACATGATAGATGGTGGGGGAAACTTAAAATTGTTAGTAATTTCATCTTGCTTGGATCCACAATCAACACTGGCAAATGCTTGGTACCAGCAGTCAAAAAAGAAAAAGACGTGTTACATTGGGAATATCTGTTGTTAAGGAATTCTCCAAAGTGCTTAAAAGCTGTGATGTCAGTTTAAAGACTAAGGTGTGCATGATCTAAGTCATGGTCTTTTCAATTACTTGCTATGAATCTCAAAGTTGGACAATGAATGAGGATGAAGAAGAAGAGTTGATGGCTTTGAGTTTTGGTTCTGGTGAAGAGTACTGAATATCCCGTGGACTGCCACTAGGACAAACAGATACGTCTTGGAGAAAGTGCAATCTGGGTGCTCCTTTGAGGCAACATTGGTGAAATTCATCTCATTATTTGGGTGTGGTGTTAGAAGGGGCCAGTCCTTAGAAAAAGACACCAAGCTTGGAAAGGTGAGGTCAGCAAAGGAGAGAAGAACCTCTCAACACTGTGCACTGACATAATGACTGTAACAATGGGCTCACCAAGGATAGCAGAAACAATGAGGATGTCACAGAATAGGGCAGGATTTTGATCCATTCTTCATAGGGTCGTTTATCATAGAGCTGTATTTGACTCGAAGGTACCGAATAACTGACAGAACTGCCAAGAAATCCTGTGAATTTTCCCCAAATATGAAGGTGCTGGAGTAAAGAGGGGAAGGAAAACTAGAGGCATGAAAATGAGGAAGGCAGGGTGGAAATGGGAGAGTGTTGACCCATTGCAGGCACAGGAATATGAATTGTTGAATGGGAAATCAAGTCTCTGGGTAAGCTTCCTCCCAAAGAGCAATAAAATTGTTAGAGGGGAAAAAAAATAATCAAGCTTATGGCTTTGTGAAGAATCTATTGCCAAAAACTCCAAACAAAACCCTACAGAGCCGTTTTGTTCTGAATGCATGTGTTGTTCTGAGTCAGAACCACCTGGTGGAAAATGGTTGTAAATTGTGGTGTTTGGTGGTGTCTCCTAGGGCGGCTATGATGAAAAGAACCACAAATGTCTTTTCAAGGACAGAAATTTTAATACTTACCATTCTGGAAGTTAAAAGTTCAATTCAGGGTCCTGGTCAACTCTGTTTCTTCTTTGTTGGTATTTCTCTGAGCTCTTTGCCTCTTCAGCCTGTAGATGAGGGTCCCAAGGAAGGTCTTCCTCTCCTCTGTGTACATCTCTATGTCTACTCTGGCTTTTTAGTAATCTCTAAGTGATTAGACTTAGGACCCCTCCTATTAGGGTATGATCTAATTAACATTGTTGCTGTTGTTGTGGTTGTGTTAATAGAGTCAGAACTGACCCATAGCTGACCCTTCTGTGGGTTTTCAGAGATAGTTAATTGCAAAGGAGATTGCGGAGCAGCTGGAGGCCTCAAACCGGCTGCTTTCAGGATTGCAAGTGCAGCTTCTTACCACTAGGCTACCAGAGCTCCCTTAATTAACATTACAAAGACAAAACCATTTCTTAGTAGGACTATATTCACAAATATAGGGTTGGGATAAGAGTTTAATGCATAATTTGGGGGAGTGCAGTGATATAATACATAATAAACGACAAATTTAAATATGGAAATATAGCATTGTGTTATTCTGAGATCCACACACACAATTACACAGCTAGATATGAGAATAATTTCCCATCACAAAGCAATGGAGTCAGTTCCTGTTTATGGCAACTGTGTCCAGCTTCTGAGGCTGTAAATCTCTACAGGAGACTTCCCATCTTCCTTAGAACAGCAGGTGAGGTCAAACCACTCACCTTTCAGTTAGCAGCACAATGTGTAACCCACTATGCCATCAGAGCTCATTTGAAAGATAATGTTGAAAAACAAAACAAACTCAAACTCATTGTTGAATCAGAACCAACTTATAGCTGACCCTCCACTGGTTTTCTGAGGTGGTCAATAGAAGAGAATAGAAGGAGATTGGCTATCTTTCTTCTGTGGAGTCACTGGTGGATTCAAATTGCCAGACTCTGGATTAGCAGTGCATCTCCCTCTGGGGTAGGCTAGGGTTGAATATTTCATAATTTAGAGCTCCACTTAGATGAAACATCTAAATTAGGTAAACAGAGACAGAAAGGGAGCTCTGGTGGCTTAGTGGGAAAGAGTTGTGCTGCCAACTCAAAGGCATGCAGTTTGAATCCATCAGCTGCTCTATGGGAGAAAGATGGGCAGTCTTCTCTCATGTAATTTACTGGATCAGCTATGGATCGGTTCCAACTCGGTGGCACACAACAAAACCAACAGGGAGCTCTGCTGGTTTTAATGGTAAGGAGTTGTGCTAACAATTCAAAGGGATAGTGTTCAAATTCACCAACTGCTCTGTGAGAGAAGATGGATAATCTCTTAACGTGATTTACTGCCTCTGAAAACCTGCTGGAAGGTCAGTGTGGAGTTGGTTTCTACAACAATAAGGGTGGGGATGGGGGAAGAGGAGAGAAGAACTATTGTCCTTCTGCGTTTCTGTTTGGGGTGATGTGAGAAGTTTTTTAGGAATATAAAATATGGTGAAAGGAATTAACATCATTGACTTTACATTAAAAAATGAGCTAAAAAGGTGAACTTTTTATTATATAGCTCTTTACCACAATAAAACTTACATCAATTTACACAGGAGGTAAAATTATTGTTCTTAAAGAGATGGAGTTCTTTATAACTGGGGAAGAGGCATCTTGAATCATAGGTGAAATGGAGAAGCCATAGAGATGTAAAGGGGTTTAATTGTTTTACTAACATCTCATGTACATTGAGAAAGGCTTATTGTTATGAGGTTGACTTGAAACACACACACATCAGAAATTAAGCTGGACAAAATCTGACAGATCTGCAGGTTGAATCTGTGGTACATACTAGTTGTTACATTGAAAGACTTAGTGTAAGATGTTACATTGCAAGGTGGTGGTGCACAGTGTTATTTAACTACATGTAAATCTAGAGTTAGTTCAAGAATTATTTAGGGTGGGGAGAAAATAGGGGGTTTAGCATGATTTTGTGCAGGCAACAGAAGCAAAACAACTGTCACCTTTGCCAACTTGAAGTGGGTGGATTAGATTTGCATTTCCAGGGCCACCCAACCAGAGGAATTTCCATCTTCTTTGGATTCTTTGGACTCGGACCTGGCCCTGTGGAGCCACGTCCAACTTTGACCCCTGTCCCCTTATCCCCTGGGACCAGGTATCTTGTCTTTTTAGCCCTCTGTTCTGACAATTTATCTAATTTCTTTTTGTTATTGAATACCAATGATTTGGAAACGATCTTTAGCTGACTCTCCAGCAGGTTTTCAGAGGCAGTTAATAGACAGGAGGAGATTGCCCATCATTCTCCCATGGAGCAGTTGGTCGATTCAAACTGTGTGTCTTTGGGATTGCAGGGCAGCTTCTTACCACTAGGCAACTCACCTCATATCCCACGCCGCTGGTTTTTCAGGAGTGAGGGAGTTGCTGGAGAGGCAAATAGCAGTTATGTTTTGAACTTGAACGTGAGTGCCTACAGAAAAATGAGTTGCAGATGTATGGTTGGAAATGGGGTCTGTAAAGTCGAACGTTTCTCACATTAGAGTTTCTGAGTGCCATCCTTGGACTTTTTACTTGGTTCTTTTTTACTTGGTCTTTTTATTATCATCTGTTCTCTCTGAGCAGTGTCATTATAACTAACTCATAGTCACATGAACTGACAGCGCCCTGCATGTGCCCATATGACAGCCATATCATTCTGTACTTGATGTTAAAGATTTGGGTTCTACCACTGGAATATACAATTCCTAGGAGCTTGACTTTGATAATCATTGCATTTTTATCTCCCACCATATTCAATGGTACTTAGCATGTGCTGAAAGAATGATGCCTCTAATAAAAGGGCAGTAATTAAATTATTATAGTTACACAATAGAATGGAACATCACGTGTTGTTGCTAGATGCTCTTGAGTTGAATATGATCTATAGTGACCCTATGAATAACAGATCTGAACCTTGTCCTACCCTGTGCCATCCTCACAATCCCTGACATGAGCCCACTGCTATAATGACAATGTCGCTGGTGGCCTAGTGTTAAGAAATTGTACTGCCAGTCCAAAGGCACATGGTTCAAATCCACCAGCTGCTCCATGGGAGAAAGATGGGCAATTAACTTCCATACAATTCACTGCCTCTGAAAACCCACTGCAGAATCAGCTATGAATTTATTCCAACTTGATAGTAAACAACAACAGAACATCATGTAGGTATTATAAAATCTTATCTTAGGGAAATACTTTGTGACAAAAGAGCTTATGATAGAACACAATACTGTTTTTGTAGTGCAATCCAACTTTGTAAAAACAAAGATATTAGCATACAAGAAAAAAGAGAGAGAGAACACACAGTCATAGTCTGGAAAGATTGGATAGAGATTGCATTTGTCTTTAATTTTTAGACTTTTCTAAACTTTCCACATTTTCAACAATGAAAATGTATTGTTATTATTCATTTCCCCCTCTCCCTTCCTCTTCTTTTTCGCCAGTTCACTTTTTAAAAAAACTATATTCATTCATTATTGCACAATTTCCTCCCTCTCCTTCCTCACCGCTCCCGAAGTCCACTTTGCAGTGTACCTCTTATTCTGGACTATTGTCATACATATAATGACTAATCATATATTACTTTTAAGCAGTTCTTTCTTCATCTGTTCTAATGCAGCATTCATTATCTATCCAATCTTTTCCTATTCTTCTCCAAACCTTCCACATCAGTCCTGCTTTATAACACTAATGTTATGCAGTCCTTTTGTGAATATTTAACTTAGCATATGTCCTCCAGGGTCACCCATGTTTTATAATATTTTACAAGTTCATTGTTTTTCAGTGCTGCATAATATTCCATTGTGTGAATATACCATAGTTTTTCTATCCATTTGTTTGTTGATTGGCACTTGTGTTGCTTCCATATTGGGTTGCAATAAACATGAATGTGCATACATCTGTTTGTATGGCAGTTCTGTGTGTTCTGTGTGGGTATATTCCCAGTAGTGAAATTGCTGGGGCAAATAGTATTTCTATTTCCAACATTTTGAGAAAGCACCAGACTGCAGTCCACAGTAGTTGGACCATTTTACACTTCTACCAGCAGTAAATAAGGGTTCCAATGTTTGCTGCTCTGTTGAACTTGCTATTGTTGCTGGGGTAAGATGATATCTCACAGTTGTTTTGATTTACATCTCTCTGGTAGCTACAGATTTTGAACATTTCTTCATGTGTTTGTTTGCCATCTAAACGTCTTCTTTTGTGAAGTATCTATTCATATTTTGTCCCATTTTGTGATTGGGTTGTTTGTCTTTTTGTTGAGATGCTGGAGTATTCTATAAATTTTAGATGAGTCCCTTATCAGATATGTCCTTACCAAATATTTGTCTCCAGTCTGTGGGCTTCCTTTTTTTTTTTACCTTGTTGGAGGAGTTTTTTATGTGCATAGGGATTTGATTCTTAGAAGGTCCTATTCATATATTTTGTTTTCTCCTGGCTGTAGGTTTTTCATTATGCTTGGAAAACTATTCATACTGTAGCATAGGGTTTCTAGAGTTCTCGTAAGCTTTTCTTCAATGACGTTTATAGTCTTTGGTTTTATTCCTAGGTGTTTGTATATGGTGTGAGGTGCAGATCTTGCTTGAGTTTTCTACAGATGGTCTTCCAATTTTGTCAAGACCATTTGCTAAAGAGTCTGTCATTTTCCTCACTTATCTGATTTTATCTCCTTGTCATAAATCAATTGACCAAAATTTTTATTAAACAAATGTTTGATCAAACAAATGTTGTCAAGGGAATCTCAACACCAACAAGAAAGAGGAAGCAGCATGCATTCTTTGGGGCCAGAGATATCTGTGTTGGCCCAAACAGGATCTACACACGAGCAACAGCACCCTCAGCAGAGAACCAGAGATTGACATCAGGCAGAGCTGACGTGGGACTGCTGCCCCACAGAACCAGAGCCAGAGGCCTTCAATCCAAGCTTGTTGGAAGATGAAGGAAGACAGCATTACTGGAAGGTTTAAAGAAACATTGTAGCACTGCCTGAAACCATGAGGCTGAAGTTCAAAGGGCCTGAAGCCACACTTAAAAAACCTGTCTATGCTGAGGGATTGTAACCTGCTGCCAACCTGAATTATAGCCTGCTAACTTTTGTAATAAATCCCATAACCATGAAAAAAAATACTGTCAAGTACATGGCAACCCACGTGTCAGAGTAGAACTGTTCCATAAGATTTTCACCAGCAGATTTTATAACCTATATGGCCAAGTCTTTCTTTTGAGGTAACTTTGAGTGGATCCAACCTCCAACCTTGGTTTGTTTTTTAGAAAGTTTCCACTGCATTTTGGGTCAATGTTTAAACTAGTTTTCCTTTCTATAATTTATACATATTTTGTTTTGTAGCATTGATTGCAATCCCATCAGTGCAACAAAGCATTCCCCACTTTCTCCTTGGTTTCCTCACTTCCATTCACTCTTCTTTCCTGCCCCTTCCTACTTCCTCAGACTGTTGGCCTCTTTAGTTGACGGTCTGCTCCTCCAGTCTGTTGATTAGCAGCTGATCATGTTAATCATTTCCACCACTCACGGACTCTGTTTTATTATTACTTAAGTATTATTCTGGTTAGGTGCCATCAAGGCAAGTACATAGGGCATGTGGTATTAATGATACTATAATTTTTTTCATTTTTAAAAACATTTTATTTGAATGAAAGTTTACAGAAAAGTTGGATTTTCATTCATTCATTATTGCATATTTTCCTCCCTATCCTCCACCCTCCCAATGATATTGTTCTATAATTTCCAGATTCAGTTTGATTTTCTTACTTGGGAATGAGAACAAATACAAACTTTCAGTTAAGTATAAATATTCTTGATAGTATCATTTAATGAAAAAGTTTCTTGATTCTATTACATATCAAATTATTACATAAGAAGATGGTGAAAAGGACATTATTGTATAAGTACAATATGACTCCTTCTAATAAAAACTAACATGTTACACAATTTCACAGATCACTTCTTTTTACCATTCACCTCATGTAAGTGTAACTATGGTGGTTCTATCTCTTAGACAATATCAAGTTCGTAATGACAATTATATTTCTCTAAGCTATTGGCATTGCATTTCTCTTATATTTTTATTGTACAAGTAGCACATGCTGAACATGAACATTTCTTCGAATCCCTAAGCATAACTATACTTACAGATTTTTCCTAGACTCTATAAGCCATCTAAGTAAAATTGGCTTCAATCCCTAATTATACTTTCCTTTCAGAAGGCAGTCATTTTAACATTTAGTATGTAATTGTTTTCAAAAAGTGAGGTGCATTTTTTTGAGCAAAGCTTTTGGCATATTACAAGGAGGAACCAGTCCTTGGAGAAGGACATCATGCTTAGAAGGGTGGAGGGACAGAACAAGAGAGGAAGACCCTCGTTAAGATGGATTGATTCAGTGACTAAGGTAATTGGGTTATGTATGTTAGAGATAGTAAGGTTGGCTCAGGATAGAGCAGGGTTCTGAGCTGTTGTATATAGGGGTCACTATGAGTTGCAAGCGATTTGATGGCACATAACAACAACGTGATATGGTCTGTAAGGAATTTTTCTTAAAAAATCATTCTCTTTTCATATTTTGGCACAATTTTTAATTGCTCACAAACTTAAAGCATGTGTATGGTACTCAATTTTATGCCTCATCTACTTTTCTGTAAGTAGATACAACCTTTCAAATAAAGAGTCAATCCCCCAACTTCTATGTCGTTCTTCCAAAACATCGACATTCTCAAGACAACGTATATTGCATGTCATACCTGAAACAAACAGAAAACATAATGCATTCAAATATTATAAAGAATGGAATAAAATAGCAAACTTTAAAAGGAAAAAAAATGCTAAACTTGTATGTCACTATTACCACAGACATACATGTATACAGCAAAAACAGAAAGAAAAGACAAGCTAACCCAATTAACTTTCACATATAACAACTCTTATTCATTAGTAATAAATCATGATTTTATTATTTTAAAAATAGATAAGTAAAATCTGAACAAGAATATTAATAAAATTAATGTTAATATATAAGCAATTCATAATTTTACAGTAATTGATCATATGGTAACTCTTAATTTAAGTCTCAATAAAATTTAAATAAAAACCAAAAGTTTACCAAAAACACTACAAATTCTCTTAGAAATATCATACTTAATACTTTTTCCTTGTGTTTTAATGAAAAGTGTAAAATGCTAAGGCCACATTTTCTGTAGAACTCCCACAAGCAAAAATCAGTACACCACCCCTCTGTTGTTGCTAAGTGCCATCTCGTTGACTCTGATTCATGTTGCTGTTGTGTGCTGTCCAGTTGTAAGTGACCCACAGCTCACCCTCTAGTGGGGTTTCAGAGGCAGCAGATCATACAGAAGATTGTCCAACTTTCCCCCTCAAATCAGCTCGTAGATTTGAGCCACATGCCTTTGGGTTGGCAGTGTTAACTCCTTACCACTAAGCCACCAGAGCTTCCTAATAGGATAGTATATTTTCTTTTTAAATTAAGTTCTTTAGCTGTATATTTGCAGTAAGCTGTACAGAAGGAGAATGTCCATCCTTCTCCACAGAGTAGCTGGTAGATTTGAACTATGTGCCTTTGGGATTGGAGCATAACTTGTTACCACTAGTCTATTAGAATGATCCCATAAATAATAGATCTGAACCTGTGTGCCATCCTCATCACATACTTCAATGTACTTGAGCCCACTGTTGCCGTCACTGTGCCATTATCTTGTTGAGGGTCTTCCTCTCTTTTGCTGACTCTCTGCCTTTCCCAGGATGATTTCTTTTTCCATGCACTGCCCCTCTTTACAAGATGTCCTAAGTTTCACTATCCTTGCCTCTAAGGAGCACTCTGATTGTACTTTCTCCAAAACAGACTTGTTTGTTCTTTTGGCAGTCCATGGGTTTTCCATATTCTTCTCCAACACCACAGTTCAAAGGCATTGTTTCTTCTTCTGTCATCTTTATTCATTGTCCAACTTTCAGATGCACAGACCATGGTTTGGATCAGGTACACCTAAGTCTTTAAACCGACATCACTGCTCTTTAACACTTTGGAGAGGTGCTTGACAGCAGAGTCTCCCAAAGCAACACTTCTTTTGACTTCTTGACTGCTGTTACCTTGAGTGTTGACTGTGAATCCATGTAAAGTGAAATGACTGACAACTTAAATCTTTTCTTGATCTATCATGATGTTGCCTAAATGGTCTAGTGGCAAGGATTTTTGTTTCCTTGATGTTGAGGCTTAACCCATATTGAAAGTTGTAGTTTTTATTCTCTTGTAGCAAGTGTTTCAATTATTCTTCACTTTTGGCAAGCAAGGATGTGTCATCTGCATAATACAGGTTAGGTTGTTGATGAGTCTTCCTCCAAAGCTGATGAATATGACATATTCATCTTCACTTAGTCCAGTTTCTCAAATTATTTGCTCCACATACAGATTGAATAGGTAGGTATGGAGAAAGAATACAGCCCTAATGCACACCTTTCTTATTTTAGACCACACAGTGTTCCGTTGTTGTGTTAGGCCAACAGCCTTTTGGTTTAGGTATAGCTTGAGCATGAGAAGAATTAAGTGTTCTGGGATTCCTACTCTTCTCAATGTTTGCCAGAGTTCATTATGATCCACACAGTCAGATGCCTTTGCATAGTCAATAAAACACAAATAAACATCCTTCTGGTGCTTTCTCTTTTCTGCCAAGACTCATCTGACATTAGCAATGATATCTCTTATGCTATGGCTTCTTCTTAATCCAGCTTGAATTTCTAGCAGTTCTCTATCAATGTACTATTCCATCCACTTTTTTTTTCTTTGTAATTTTCAACAGGACTCATATGATATTCTTCAACAATTTCCACATTCTGTTAAATCACTTTTTATTGAAATGAGAACAAATGGGGATTTCTTCCAATCAATTGGCCAGATAGCTGTATTCCAAATTTCTGGCATGGAGTAGTGAGCATGTCTAAGGTAGTATCTGTTTGTTGAACCGTGTCAGTTGGCATTCTATCAATTCCGAGGGTCTTAATATTCCCCACTAATGCTTATAGTGCAGCTTTCTTTGTTATCCTTGATTCTTGACGATGTACTATTTTCTGAAAAGTTTCTGCGTTGACCAACACTTTTAAGTACAGTCACTATGTGTATTCCTTCCATCTACTCTTGATGCTTCCTGTATCATTTAAGATTTTTCCCTTGGAACCCTTCTCTAGAAAAGCTGAAATGTCTTTATCATAAAGCTAAAAGGAGTATTTTTGAGATTAATCCCTTTTCTGGGATAAAATAAGCCATTAAGTATCTTCTAACTTTCTAATTCTATGTGCTTTTAGATAAAATAGGTAACATTTCAAAATATTTAACTTCACTTTAAAAGTTGACTTTATTTTAAAAAGAGTTCTAGTCTAAGTTCATAACTTACCAAACAATTTTTTAACTTCAGTATCTGGAACATTAAATGGTGGGCCTAGGAAAAGAAAAACATGGTGAATAATAATTTGATAGGGAATGGCAAAGGACACACTGACAAAGAAGATTAATCAGAACTGGCTTTGACAAGCAGTGTGGCATTTGGACAAGAACAAACTGGGAGGAGGGTAGAGAGAATAGTGCAACAATGAATGAATGGAAACCCAAAATCTCTGTAAATGTTTATG